TAACCTTCATGTTTATCTTGCGCAAAAAATTGGAAATTTTAAACCATACACACATTTGAAATATTTATTTAAATTAATTTACTTTTTTTTTTTTTTAAATAGACGATCGGTATTTGTAATAAAAAATAAATTTCTATGCACTTTGCACGATCGTATAACCTTCACGAAACCTTGACACAATATTGTTTCTTGTTATAAATACTGATAATTTATTCAAATTACTAATCAAATATTAATTATGTATTAAACATTTATTAATTCCAAATACTGATCATTTATTTAACAAAATATTGATCAAATATATAAACATGGGAAAAAGATAATGAATTTTAATAATTATTTTCTGCGCATGATAATCACCAATTTTACTTTCGGTCCTGCTTCTGATTCCAATTTATTTATTCGCATCTTTTTATTTTTTACTACATCTCAAAAAATATGAAAGAACAAAAAAAATGTTAATACCGATTTTAGGCTATTGGGATTAAAACAGGACCAAAAATATTTATGTATGCGTGTATCTATATATATATATATATAAATCGAGTCTTCAATCGAGGATTGAAATATCGATGGCAGACTAAACCGGCCCTTTTGGTACTGCCGAATCAACACTTCGAAATGCAAGGAGGATTATTATCACATAATATAATAATATGTGATTATCGTGTAGGCCACAGAATTCGAACTACTCTTTTTTCAAAATTCATCTATTCAAAAAATAAATATATATATCACATATCCGTGAAAAGCATCATTTATATTAAGAAAGTAATCTACTGCGTACAGAAGAAGCACGGTATTTCAAGATTGTTGGTGGAATTATAGGATTGACGGTGTGGGGGGGGGGGAGGGGTGGTTTATTGGTGTGGTGCGTTTATATCGTGATGTAAAAAAAAAAAACCATACGTCGAGGAACTAATTTCGACGCAACCATCTCCTTTTTTTTTTTTTTTATCTATGTATATAGATATATGTATATATATATATACATACACATCACTATGAATTTTCGGACAAAAATTCTGGAGACATTGTATTATTTTGTATTTGACATCGACATCTTTACTTTTCGATATCTCGAAGATACGGAAAAAAGAAAAACTTGTACAATGTTTAATATTCAGTTATCATTTTTTAATTTCAACTTGTGCTCCTCGAGACAAATAAATAAAAAAAAAAAAAAACAGATATAGAAAGAAAGAAAGAAAGAAAGAGATAACGAGAGAAAGATAAAGAGATAGTGTAAATATAAACCGAAGTACAGAAACGTAAAGATATCGAGATCAGTATAACAATAACATGATGTATATGTAAATATTAATTACCATTTGTCTCCGTTTCAGAGATCATTTAATTGTTCTCTTTCTAGATATATTATCTAAAAGCTGCACGGTTCTCCGTCTTAAGTAGATGATCAAAATAAAACCAATGTGAATAATCTCAATCTATTTCGCTCGGCTACGTCGAAAATTGCCGAGCGAAGGACCGAGACAATAAAGCGAGATGCAGCGCACACATGAATATTTTCGTTTAGTATGATAATAATAATAATAATAACGACGACTAAATAAACACGTTCGTGAGAGACTAACAGCGATATAATTAAATCTATATATATATATATATATATTGAAAATGAAAATGTTCTGACAAAAAAAAAAAAAAAAGGACAAATAAGGTATATATTTTATATATATATATATATGTATCGAATGATAAATAATCGATTTTTATATATTTAAGGGAAAATAATAAGGAAGGCATGCTGGATTCTCCTGTCACTATTGCTAGCGATATATGTATATTTTTTTTTTTCTGCAGCTATTAGGTGATCTCATGTATTTTTTTTTTTTTTTTTATTAAAGGAGAGACGAGGGATGATTCTAAAAGGGGGTTTGATTGAAGAAAGAGAGAGGGGGGCGGGTTTGTAGTAAGAAAGGGGGCCAAGGGGGTATATATATGCGAGTAGAAAAAGAGTCTCCTTGAAGAAGAATATTTTCATTGGAGGAAATTGTATATATATATAAAAAGTAGAGTATATATATGTGTAAGTATACATACATATCTATATATATATATATATATATATATATAATATATATATTGATATATATATATATTAATAAATAGTGTATATAATATATATAAATATGGAACACACATAAAAGAGCATGCGACACGCACGACATATGGACAAAATACAAAAAAACGTAGGTAATCCCAAATAGAGTAAGAGAAAACAGTTTTAATTGTGAATGAAACAACAAGATCGAGACAAAAAACGTGTAAAAAAGGAAACACGATAGTTAAAAATCTGAATATATTAATGATGACTTACCTCGAGAAGCTGTTGATTTCTTATTTCACGTTCCCGTCTGACTGCCTCTTGCCGTTCCGTCTTCTCTTGTTCCTTGATGAGCCTGTTGCGATAGACGATGGTTAAATCAAGGTTCACTAATGGTTTTGTTTTACATATCGACGAGATTCGTGCAGTTAAATTTAACGACATATGTAGGTAGGAGGAGTAGTAGTAGTAGTAGGTAAGTAGTCGAGTTTCGATAAATGCAACAGGTCACACCTGGCCTGTTCTTTGTGTCGTTGTGCCTCCTCCTTAGCAAGTTTCTTCGCATATGCCAGCTTGTCTCTCTCGTACTGATTGTTCGTAGTTCGTATGTCCCTGAACCCTCCGGCAACTCTTATCTCTTCGAGACGTCTCGCTACTTCTTGCGCGCCAAGCCTCACAAATTCAGCCTCAGCCAGACCCAACGTTGGCTGGAGAAACTCACCGACCAATGGACGGGACGAAAACGAAAAATTCGCTGTCGTCAGCTCGGCAGGAATCTGTTGTTCCAAAAACTACGAACATTTTTAATTCGATACGTTCAATATAGAAACTTGTTAAAAGTTATTCTTTTAATTGTTAAAAATATGTTTATTGAGTATTCTCATAATGGGATTATTTATGGTTTTTTTTTCAAAGAGTTCACTTTTTTTGATTTCGAATCTATGATTCTTTTTAATATGTCAACCTCTACGTAACTTTTAATATAAACTAAATATATATATATATATATATAAAAAAACACTTTTTTAGAAACTGATATTATTTGTAAGTATGCATAAATAAATACTGGATACAGTTATGCCGAAAACTCGAAATATTTTCCTCATCTATTTCCCCATACAAAACCATTTAATCGAAACCAAATTGAAATCTCGTATTCAGTGTAGTTATTCAAGAACTTTTGAAATCTAATTTTTGTAAATGAATGCAACTCACCTTGACAAGATCGGGACTGCACTTAAATGTTTTACCACAGGGACTATAATAGGACACATCGCCCTTAATAACTCCAGTCTTTCCTAGTCCCTTAATAACAGTCTCTCGTTTCCAACCACGTTCCAAGGGCATCTGAAGATCCCTTTCGCTAGGTTTAAGCTTTCTTCTCTTAGCACTGGGCGTACCCTCGGCGTTATCGTCGTCTGTGTCGGTGACGACGTCGGTGTTACTTCCGCTTTCACTTGTTACATCCATATTGCTTTCCTCGCCCGACGCCTCCAGCAATTTGTTCTTCATCTTCTCCTGTAAAGATCGCTATATAGGGAGAATGGTTTTAGTGCGAAATCATAAGTGAAAAGAAACTAAAGCGTGGCGCTTCCGTTGGCCCAACCCTAGAAAATGATGTGTTGTTCTTCGTGACTGAACGCGTACGTTCTTTTTTCATTTTCTTTTTCTTTTTTACGATAAGAAAACAAAAAACAAAAAAGAAAAAACTCAAATCGTATCGATTGTTAAATGTAAGGAAAAATAAAACAAAACAAAAAAATAAATGAACAATATTGAAATAAAACAAATGAAGAATTGAGTGAACGCAATTGGAACGCATGAATTTATACCTGATTCTTGTCGTCAACCTGGCCTGTTGCCGAGGCATGCAATTGCGCAGCAAGAATGTTCGACCTCAGCAACGAGACTTGGTGTGACAATGGCACGCTAGGATCCAACGTTGGAGTGGGTTTTATACCCAAAGCTCTGCTCTGTGCGAGCAACGACGCTACGGTGTTCTTCTTCGGCTTAGAAACACCACGACCAAGATTTCGTGGACGACCATCCTTGTGATGAGTCGTACTGGCACTCTCGCTTTCCTCGCTACCGCTGCTCGGCCTTTGGGGCGAATCCGCAGCAGCAAATAATTGTGCCAATGAGGGACTAGGAGAAGCTGGGACTGGTACCGAGTTTTGTGGCACTCTTCTCGGCTTTGGTCCTGGTTTTCGTCTCGCTAATTCATAATATTTCATTCAAGTGATCATACATTAATAATGATGAAATCATTTTTGAATAATATTAAATCGTTTCAAAATATTATTTCATTTACTTATGCACAAAACTTACAAAAGTAAAAATGACAAAACTTTATGATATTATAACTCAACATTATTTTTCCCGAAACAATATAATAATCATTTATAATAATATATAATACTCACAGGTCCGATCAGAGGCAAGCAAAGATTGGCTCAGATTGCTGAGTTGACTGAGCGGTTGACTACCGGAAATCGGCGAGCTACTACTCGTCGAAGAAGGTTTAAGGGATAAATTTAATGGAGCATCTGAGTCATTGGCGGAGGTGGTCGAGTTATTGCCACTAGTGTACGAAGACGGTGCTGACAAAACAGAACCGTTGGTTGAGTGGGCCGGTAATTTGATCACCTCCACACGATCTACGGTCTCTCGATACTCGTTAGATTCGGTCTACAATCAAATCGTACATTTTCCTGACTTACAACGATAAATTCACTTTACGAATATGATCGAATTTCACTTGAAAAATAAAATAAATGAAAGAATTAAATGAAAAAGGAAACTTACCCCTGTACGATTGTACTTTCTTGGCTCCAACATCAAGGACGACGAGGTTGTGTTCGTCTGATGTGCACTCAACGTGGATACCGCTGGTGGATGAACACTGACACTCGGTGTATCCAAGGAGATCGTCTTCTTCCTGCCACGATTCGTCGTACCAGGAACTTTTGGACCGACTATACTCGAGGTATATTTGATGATCTCCGTATCAGGAGGCAAACGCACACCTCCCAATATACTGCTAGGATCGCTACAAAAAAATCAAACAACGTTTATATACTAGAAACAAATCAACAAACAAACAAGAGCAATGTTCCTTTCTTCCTTTCTTTATTTCTTTCCTTCTTTCCATATATTTCTTTTTTTTTTTTCTTATATATATATATATATATTATTATAAATTTATTCTAACACGTGGGTATATAAAATGAATCACTAAGAAATCGAGATCGTAATAATCCCCTCACCTTCCTTCCTTCGCAGAGCTGCTGTTAATCGCAGCGAAGCGTGAAAGAAAATCAGGAAATGTTATTCTAAGTCTTTGATTTATTTTTTTTTTTTATTGTCATTTACGATCTCTTTCGTTTTATTAATTTTTTCTTATTTTTTGTCCTTTTTTTTCTCTATTGTATTATTAATTGTCGTAAGCCCAACGCAACAGCCCACCCGTTTTATTATGCACAACAAGTATCACCAACTTGTCGAGAAATCAAATTCCTGATATTAAAAAACCCGTGTGCTGAATAACTAAATTCTGGACGATAAACACTTGAATTCTCAATGGCGGTGCGCTGGGTCAACGATGTGATATAAAATTTAGTAGATAAAAATAATCGAAAGATTTAAAATAGATGAACTTACCTAACAACGTTAGTTTGCGTATTTGGCGTGGTGCTTGCCGAGGTACTGTGATGAGTTGGTGTTACCGTGGCCTGACTCGACACCGGCAAACTACTGCTCGTCATATTCGTCGTTGTCGAGCTACTGCTACTGCTGCTCGCCGGTGTCTTGTGACTTTTACTCGACTTGGCTACGAATTAATAGAAACAAATCATTTGATTAAACACAACACGATTATATTTTATTTTCATATCACAAAAATATTTAAATAAACATATTTGCGATAATGTTTATCGACGATATATTTCCATTTCGATGATTTACTTACACTTGGTAGACTTGTGGGACGAAAGGGATGGGGGATTCAACAGAGATGCAGGGTAAGGCGGTATAATACTCTCCGCGCCAGGTGGAAAAGTTGGGATTCCTGTCGCACCCTGCAATCTCGCGAGGTAGTCCTGGGCAGCTAAATGAGAGGCCATTGTCCACCATGCTGCACTAGCAGGTGTGATACCTAATTAAGAAAAAAATTTATACATATATATATAACTCATACAATATTTTACAATCTTCTTTTTATATTACTTTTTCCAAATTTTAATTATATCGTTAAATTTATTCATTAATTCAATTTGAAAAATCTTAATTATCAATATAAATTGATTGATATCAAGAAAATACAAATGTACATCTAAATGAAAAATTGTGGTCGATAGTAAAAATCTCGGACAGTTGACGTGCTTGAAAAAAGACAAGAAAATAAAGAGTATGGATGGAAAAAGAAGAAGAGAAAGAAGAGGAGGAGAAAATTGAAGGGGTAGAAAATCCACTTACCCAGACTCGCAGCTTGACTGGCAGCCACGCTGAGAGTACCGAGACTACTGTGCGAGTACGGGGGTGGTGGTGGTGCGGATGCCGGTGTATGACCCCCAAAACCAGGAGCTGAACCCCCACGGCCAAGAATGGCGTAAGCCGACGGTAAATGATGTGCCCCCAATCCGTAGCCTCCAGGCATCCCGCCGAAAAGAGAGGAAGCTGCGCTATCTCCTCGTGGCCAGTACGCTGAAAACACCCGTATCAAATGGCCCCCTTTTTTTACAACCGGTATATAATATACATAGAATGCATAAACCTCTTTCATATTATTTTTCCTTTTCAAACTACATTTTTAAATGGGTATTTCAAATACGAATACACGTCTAGTATTTCTTTTCATTTCTTTTTTTCCAACGTTCTTAGAAAAATGCTATCACACATTAATCACTAAATTATTATGTTTATATTAAATGAAACAAAATTGATCGTTTGATGATAATAAATAATGTAACGAGTGTTTGAAAGAACAATGATGATTCAATAAGGGTCTTGGACAAATTTGAATTTCGGGAACCTACGTGTATATAGCGTTGTATTTTTCTTCGGGTTCAAATATTTTGTTTACATTTAGAATATTCATTTCGGTGTTATAATATCCCCTGTTAATTTTTCATAAAGTAACGTGTCGCGTGTTGTTTGGAAGAATGAAACCTAAGTTTTATATAATCAATTTTGACAATATCACCACATTGAATGATTATAAAAAAGAAATTAATTAAAATTAGATACAAAAATGTTGTTTACGCCAAAATCGAGATAATTATTCATTCGTTGGGAGGGAATGGGGGATGGTGGGGGGTGGGGTGGGTAAATAGGGTTGAATCGAATCGAGAGGGAGAAAGTTGGGGTATTTAATCTTGGTGCTTTAACGACGTGCCAGGAACATTGTGTAGACGTAGAGTACATGCATAGTAGAGGAGTCAGCTTGTACGATTTATTGTCAGAGAAGAGGCAGAAATGTACCGTTGATTTTGCTACGAGTACCGTGGCCTTGAGCAAGGCCGTGACATTGAAATCCAAGCAGCGGCGCTTTAATTTATACCGGTCGTTGAACCCCACGGCCGGCTTATAACGACTACACTTTGCTCGCTGAGTTACCGCATAATGGCTTCTCTCTCTCATTTTTTTTCTCTCTCTCTCTCTCTCTTTCTGTTGGTCGGTACCAACTCCGTTGTAAAATCTAGACATAAATTGAATTTTCATTTACCGAGTTCGAAGTTTTATCGCTCGCTTTTTCTTCCCAACGATGTCGACGTCGTTAAAAAGAATAAGAAGAAGAAGAAGAAGAAGAAAAAAAGAGAAAGAGTGAGAGAGGGGGGGGAGGAGGGGAGAGAAAATATTGACGACAAGAGAGGGAAAAATTGTTGCAAGCTTTGCTTCGAAAACTCGGCCAGAAGTCTTTCAACAGGAGCAAGTAAATCGATATGTATATGGGGATGTGTATATGTGTTTATGTATTTACATTAGACTTCTATTTATTGGGCCAATATTGTTGTTATATATTTTTAGTCAATATTTTGTAACATAATGGGTTAATATATGAATATTTTGTTAGGTATAAATAATAATTAGTCAATATTTTATAGATAATGTTTAATACGTATAATAGGGGCAGTATTGCATGACGGTTAAATATTATGTATGTATATGATATAGGATGTATACTAATATTTGATTATTAATACTAAATATATATATATATATATATATATATTTGAAATATTGGTAGTATAGTAAAGTAATTAGAAATAGTGATCGTACTAATATCCTATTATACATATTTTATTACTTATTTAAAATACTGACACCTCTCATCCTTCCATTGAACATTGTCCTTTATTACACTAAATAACAACTTCTGTGTGTGATAACTCAAATAAATGTTTTTTTCTTTTTCTCCTCCAATGTAATACAAAAGAAACAAAGGTCCCGTAACAAAACTACCGCCCTTATCGAGAAACCATTAAATGTTACTAAAAGAAATCATGATTATGACTATTATTATTATTATTATTATTACAATTTTATATGAAAAAGTTTTCGTGAATAGAATGCAAAATCTAAATAGGAAAAATTTCTTTAAATTATTAGATATGGTTGAGCGTGTATGCGAGAAATAGGAAGACATAATACTCGACGTTGTGTCCCGTAGAACGATGCGTCACTACGACTATCGATTTATGATTAAGCATTCGGAGAAGGGGAATAACGTTTGTGTTAGAGTCGAACGTCGTATTATCGACTGAAGCGCGACGACAGTGCCGCGCCTCACTAATTTCCTGTTTTTCGGGCTGCCGTTATTAAAGGACCTTCCTGGCAGGGTAAAACACATTGTTTTCACCCGTTAATCGATTTGTTTCCCTAAAAATCCAACCAACACAACGGCCAGACCCAATACAACAAAATTGCATCAAAAAACTGAAAAGGGGATGGGGGGGGAGAGGGGGACAAATCCTCCCCTCTTATCCTCCAACCAAAAATAAAAAAGTCAATAATAATAATAATAATAATAATGATTGGGAAATATTTGATTTGACAACGCACACACGTTTTCTGACAAAATCGACTAATGTTTTCCCCAACTTTTGTCCGATTACAAATTAAATCAAGTCGGTATTTCTATTCGTGCGAGTATTTAATCCAATTTAAAAAAAAAAAAGGGTTCCTTTTTCATTTCCGTTTTTCTTATCTTTTTTTTTCATTTTTTTTTTGTACCAATGTATGCACTTATAATCGCGTGCATTTTTTATTTGAATACGCGAAACAATAATACGTAACGTGCGTCGGTTAAATTTTTTAATCATAAAATTGGTTTATTTGAAACGTATGACAAGAAACAATGTCAATGTTGCATCTCCCTCCTACCACCCCTCGTGCATCGTTGAATCATCTATTTGATATCTTAAGTTGTTTTCTTTCCGATATTAAATGAAGGCATTTAATATGCCCCGTTGAATTGTCGAAAGGACAAGAGAAAAAAAAAAGAAAAATGTCCACTTAATTTTGGTCTACGATTTGGCACATTATTCTTAAAAATATAAAGAGAGAGAGAGAGAGAGAGAGAGAGAGACAGATGTAGAAAAATAAGAGTCAGCGAAACTTCGACAGGGAACAAAGAAAACGAAGGAAATATTCGTTTTCAATTCCATCGAAGATGGATGAAGGGGTAGGAAAAAGAAATAGAAGAAGAAGAAGAAAAAAAATGGGGTTGGTAAGGGAGAAGAAAGGGTGAACAGGGGGCAGGAGGGGAGGGATTTGGGGTGGTGAGAGTAAGGAAAAGGACGGTCTTTCCATTAAATCCCATCTCGGTAGGAAAATGACGATGAAAAAAGAAGAAATGGAAAAGTTTCGTATAAGCAAAGGACGAGAGATTAAGCTGGCAGCATCGCTTTAAAAGAGACAGAAAGAAAAAGAAAATGAGAGAGAAAGGGAGAGAGAAGGAAAAGGAGATGGAGAAAGAGAATAGAGAAAATAGAAAGAACACAGAAACGGGAGAGAGAAAAGGGAGAAGAGTGAAAGAGGAAGAGGAGGAAGAGGAGGAGGTGTAAGAGGAGGAGGAGGAGGAGGAGTCCGCGAGCTGAGAAAATGGCCGTGTTATTAAATCGATCGCAGGTCCGGCCCGGTCTGTCGAGGGGAAAGCCGGAGCTTGGAGTTAGGCCAGGGGGTTGAGAGAAGGGAGGAGGGTTGGATGGAAAATGTATGTATATAGGTATACAGAGATGACGAAAGAGTGACAAAGAGAAAGAGACTGACTATGTGTGAGAGAGAGAGAGAGAGAGACAGGGAGAGTAACCTAACGCGATTGAAAGAGAGAACGAGAGAGAACTAAAACTATAGTTAGAGAGAGACAGAATGGAGAGACAGAATAGAGAGAAAATAGGAGAGAGAGAGATGGGAGATGGGAGAGAACGGAAAGGGAACTGAGAATTACGAGAGTAGCTCTTGTTCGAACGTTCTGTGTCAAACTGAGAATCGAAGCGCATGTATACGCAATTAATAGCTCGAGCATGTAATACGTACGACGACATTTTTCAAAACACGTTCTTCCACGCTTTATGTCGTTCCCCCGTGTCCTCGAAAATTCTCGAAAATCTGACTCTTCTCGCTCTTCTTTTTCACTATTTCATTCGTTCATTCGTTCGTTATTGTGAATAGTATGTATTTACTGTTTCTCCCCTTTCATTATGTCTGTTCCTTTCTATCTCACTATGTATGTATGTATATTTCTTTTTTTTCTCTTTTATTCGTTTGGTAAAGTATTTCGTTTTAATTGGTAAAGATAAGTATAATTTCATTCTTTTTAGTTATTCAAATTTATTTCACAATGCAATCGCAATATTTCCGCACCATAAGTAATTTATTATTGCTTTCTTATTAATCCATACTCTTTTCTCTCTGCTAATATATTATTATATCGAAAAGTTTAATCCGTTTTATAAATAATATTGTTATTATTATTAATCGTTAATCAGGATATCAAAGTTTTATCATCACGTTAATACATTATTGACCGATCACGATTTATACTCGTGTTTGTCCTTATGCATATTTGTAACTTATGTAATTATTCGAGTTAAACAATTGTATAAATTATTATTCTAATAATTATCATAACAAATTTATAACCAATTTATCAACATTATTAATACGTCAAAAACGTGACAAATATTAATACGCTATTGCTAACATAAAAAACAAAAAAAAATAATTAAAACTATTCGTGATAATATAATTCCACACCCAGAGATATTTTCTAATTGAAATGAAAATACCATAATAAGAAAATGAAGATAAGAATTTAGAATACAGCATAAGATAGGTAACTATAATACTACACTGAAGACGCTTATTTTTGGACTACCGCAAAGTCGCTATACACGCCTGGAGTCTTTCCTTGTGTTTTTTTTCTCCCCCCCCCTCCTCCTCCTCCTCCTCCCGTTTTCTTTTTTTCTTGTTCTTTTTGGTCGTAGACCCGACGACAGGAACGTGCCGAGAAGAAAATAGCTTGGACCAACGGCGAGATACGCAACGACGACTTATGTTAGCGAATATCTAGCGAAGAGAACAGATCCGAGAAACAGCAAGTACATACAGGCAGGCGTCGTCGTTGTTGCTTGGTTGGAACACATTCGAAGAAACGCCATTAGAGTTGAACTATGTATGCTACATGTAACCAACCCCCTTAC